CACATGGAATGCATTGTCCGTTGTGCAGACAGTTGAACAGATGTGGTGGGGGAATCAGTTTCAAGTTTACTTTGGTCAAATACTGCAGCTTACTCTTACCCTCGACAGTAAAATGTGTCAGGTTCGGGTGCAAACGGGTGAGGAGTGGATCCCACAATTATAGACAAGGATAAAATTGAAAAAGAATTTTATTTACAAAAAAAACCCCCGCAATCCCGACAAAGTACACTACAACAAAATTCTCTTGCGACAAAAAGCCAGGATAATTGAAATAACATAAATTGCTTGCAACCGGCAATGTAAGAAATAAATGAAAAATCACTTGCAACTTGAATGTTCGTCCATGATGACAACAGAGATTTGGGGAAAACGAGAAGAAGTGAGGGATTCTTTTGTTCTGAGTTCTACTAACAGACGATGGACATCCTCTCTCAGGTCAGAAATTGTTTTATTTGCCTTTTCCAGCAAGCTTTTCTGATCTTCACTATGATCGGCAGTCATTATGATGCACTAGCCCTTGGGCTCCTACAACAGGCTAATAGTGGTTTGATCAGTTTGGGCGGGAGTAAGTTATCTGTTGTCGTGATCCTGTTCTTGTGTGTCTCCAGCAGGTGGCAGACGAGGGCCTTCTCTTCAGTGTGCACACCTGCTGCCAATGTTCGTTAGCCAGGTATTTAAGCACTGACAAGCTGCCTGCAGCGAGTCGGATAATTGACATTGTTGCTGCTGGTGCTATTATTGACAGTGTTTTCTAGAACTTTCGCTCTCACTCTCGTCAGTCGTTCTGGTTGCCTTATTTCCACGTTTATCGATGAACAGTCAAACCTCGGTTTTCGTCCATAATCCGTTCCAGAATGCTGTTCGAAAACTGAATTGTTCGAAAACTGAAACCATGCTCTTTTTTAAAAAAAAATGTTTATTGACACGTCTGCTCACAATGGAAAGCGACACGAGGAAGCGTCACTTCCTCGTGTAAGGAAGGCGAGAGCAGTCAAATGGTGCATTTAAGTGCGCTCAGTTTGTTCGAGAACCGAATTTCGGTCGTAATCCGAGGCATGAAAAACTCGAAATTTTTGGTCGAAAACCGATTTGGTCGAGAACAGAGACGTTCGAAAACCGAGGTTTGATTGTATAGTCCTTGTTTAATCATTTGATCCTGCTTTTGTTTTGTCCTGCACTTTTTGCTAATGTAGTGTTTTTCCTGGTTGATTTTTAAGATGAAAGAAAAATTGGCCGCAGAAGTCAAGTGAGGTTGCGAGTGGCGTGGAGGCAGCGCCGAGTGAGTTAGGCCACAATTTGTGAGTGGATTGTGGATACTTGGGCTCCCATGTCTGCTTTCACTGTTGTTCGAGGTTTCGTAAAAAGCCGGCATCATTTCTGAGCAGCCACGCAGCAACGAGATTGCCTCTGACAATGATGCGAGGGAACCTGGCGTGTTTGACAAAGTATTTGCCCAGCTGTTCATCTCAGATACAGAAGATGAGGGTTTGGAAACTCAGTTTTACTCCCGCTACCTTTTTAAAATCATACGCTAGCGTGCATGCATGCTACTTTGTTTTTTAAGCTATCATACGTTTTACCATGCCAGCGTCCAATAATACAATAAGCCTTGTGTCTGTGTTTAATAGAGAAATAGCACCCTTGACTGACACCACGGCTTTTAATACAGTCCATCGTTTGGTTGTGAAAATAATGGTACTCACATTATTTTTTTTTATCTTCACCTCTGCAAACCAACACTGTCTTTAATATCAAAACCACGATTGGCAAGCACACCACCTACCTGAATTTTAATTTTTTCAGTATTCCAGTTTTCAGGAATATATATTTATCACTTGCACGACCACCCCACACTTTTAGAATGAATAACAATGAACGTCGAGGAGTGATATTTAACAGTGTTCTGATGCTTATAAGATGACCATGCCTGACATTGGAAATTTAGAAGGCTCTCAGTGAAAACTTAAAAACAGCCAATGAATGATAAGACATACTTTTAAACTTAATTGAACGGTGAACATTGAAACTGTTAGATTTATTTTGTGAATGCACTTTGTTTTTCTTCTTTCTTCTTTCTACCCACAATCTTGCTGCTGTAGACTGTAAATTTCCCCAGTGTGGGACAAATAAAGGATATCTTATCTTATCTTAAAGAGAAATGTTTTCTAAATTATAGAGGCTTTGACATTCTTAAGTCTTCTCTCTTGGCCAGAAAATATACCTTTGAAGTCTGATGAACAGTACATAAATAACTGACAAAAATGCATGAAAAACACTTGGCTTGAGACACATCAAATCTATATTCCAGGTCTTGTTCAGGAAAACTGGGACTCAATTGCATCAAGACTAAAAATGAACTTTTGACATTTTGTTGGTGGCCTGGTGGTCGACTGGTTAGCGTGCCAGCCTCACAGTGCAGAGGTACAGGGTTTGATTCAGGCTCCGGCCTTCCTGTGTGGAGTTTGCATGTTCTCCCCGTGCCTGCGTGGGTTTTCTCCGGTCTCCTTCCATATTCCAAGAACATGCGTGGCAGGTTAATGAAACACTCTCAATTTTCTCTAGGTGTGAGTGTGAGCTCGAATTGTTGTTCGTGTATCTGTGCCCTGTGACTGGATGGCAACCAGGTCAGGGTGTACCTCGTTGACTGCCCTAAGACTGCTGGGATCGACTCAAGCACGCGCCGCAACCCTTGTGAGAATAAGCGGATCACAAAATGGATCGATGGATGAAATTTAGTTAAAATGTGCATGTACTCTATGGTATAAACTCTTTGAGGTACTCAAAAATAGCTACAGTAACAATGTTTACTTTTTTTGTCAGTGTCTTTAAAGACTCTTATTCTCGAACTGCCCAACTTAGCTTTCACATCAATCTTTTCAAAAAGGAGTCTGACACCCACCACTTTTTATGTTGCACACCTGGGTCCTGCACATATGTTTTTTGAGATGGTAATGAATCCTCTGCTCGAGATGATGTTCCGCCTGCATGTGACGATGACCTGTCCAAAGCTTCTGAAGATGAAGCATTCACAGATGTTTCTGATGGTGTGGCTTCCTTCTGATTTGCATATTTAACTTGTTTACCCAACAACTGCACAGAGCTTGTGCAACTAAATGTTGCTCTTGTTTAACTAACGCGATCTGTCTTTCATTTGCTTGCACCTTGTCATACACTAAATTGCACAAATTTATTATTTGGTACCATGGATGATCTGTTCGCTGTTTCTGCTATGAACTTTAGTGAAGGGCCCCAGTCAGAATGTGTATAATCAAAAAGCCTTGCTGTCCTACTTGTAAATAAGAAAAGAAATGAATCAGGAACAACAAAATCATATATCTTGGTGGATTAGCCATGTTGAGTTAACAGTCTTAAACAGAACACAATTTGACAAAATGACACAAAATGACAGCCAGGTAACCTACATTTGTGACATTTCTTCAGTCAAATGTGAAACTGGAAGAATCATGTTTCAATATAAAAACGACAAATGTGTTTGAGAGAAATTAAGATGGAGACATAGTGTCACCTACTGGAGTATGATGGATAACACCGAACATAATTGATAAACAGTGTTTCTGTTTGATTTACAAAACATACATGTACTTCTGACTGTCCATTTGCTGAAAATAATCTATCACGACATGATCTAATGTTTTATTTGTGTTGAAACCAAGCTTTTACTCACGATACACGTGTATTAAAATAAACCAGAAAACAGACAATGTCAGAATGCTATAGAAAGACATTATTTGTTTCTAATAAATAATTTCCTCATGGTTAGAGCTCTCATGGTACACTAATGTGTACCGGCACACTAGTTGGGAATCACTGGTACAGGCGATAGTGTTGTATTTGAAAATTATACCTGTGTCATGGTATATACCAGGGGTGCCCTATACCTCGATGGCGACTGGTCCCAAGTCCATCACGAGGGGTGTAGGGGGATGTGGAAAAAAATAAGATTTGCGTGTCTGTGTTATTAATATTCTATATTTTTAGTTCATGCACACTGCACTCTAAGAATCCTAATAGTTTCACTTTCACTTCCCCCCCAAAAAAATCTAAAATTAAATGAAATTAAAAACAAACAGGTAACCTTTAACCTACGGTGCCGCATGATCTGCATCACCAGAAGTTGTTAGCGGTCAGCAGTCTGCAATTGCAGCCTGCAATCAGAGCTGTTGCGATAAAATATTATTATTGTTATTATTATAATTCTCATTCAAAGTTTGTTTCATCTGCAATTCACCGATGGCACTGGCAAAGAATGGTAGTCTGGAGCGTCAGGAAAAGCAGTTTAAAACAGTACACATACGTACAATAGTTTCTGCACTTAACACGGTGCAAAAGTGCGTCCCATGCCTCAATGTCAGGGCTCTACTAAGGTCAGCACCGATATCCTTTTATTAAACTCACAAACTCTTGTATCTACTTTATTTTTTGTTTTGTTCATGTTGGAGCCCGTTATGGCTGTTGTTCATCATGGCATCCCCGTGTGTGTGTGTGTGTGTGTGTGTGTGTGTGTGTGTGTGTGTGTGTGTGTGTGTGTGTGTGTGTGTTTGTGAGTGTGCGTGTGCGCGCACGCGGTAACGGGTCGATCGCGGGAGGTTGGTTGCTTGAATCGAGCTTCGGTCAAAAAATGTTGGGCATCCCTGGTATAAATTCAATCGCATTTATGGCCACCTCAGAGAATTGGTGGGTGGGGGGAGAGATATTCTTTCTTGGGGGTTTAACTGCAAATAATTGAGAAAACCTACTTGCGTTGGGGCCTCCAAAAGTTTGTTTCTGTCATCAACAGTAAATTTAAAAAAAATCATGTTCGCTTTCAGACTGTGATAATTGCCACATCTGGTTTAACTTAAAGGAAAGAGCAAATATTAGAGGATGTTGACCTGTAAAGCGTTGGGAGACTGTGGTACACAGAAACACAGATAGCATCCATTGCAGCAGCAAGCGCTGGTAAAAAAAAAAAAAAAAAAAAAATCTGTAGGTTGTGCTGTTTGTGCGAAGAGGAGGGCTCTACTAGACTCAACTCCCAACTCAACTTTGCCTCCTTCTTTTGCTCCACTTTGGTCACAGCCTTTCCACTTCGACCACCACTACAACACCGTCGATCAAGGCCAGCCACAGTGACCGACGGGGGAACCTGTCAACACGGCACAAAACCACTGCGGGCTCGTGTTGTGTGTTTTTTCACTAACATGGCGGGTGGAGACTGTCGAGAGTGACCTATTTTTTTTACACGCCGGATAGACGAGCGTTTACTCGCGCGCGAGGAGAAAAGGTCGCTTCGGAAGACGAACTTTAGGTGAAGTTTACGTGGCAAGCGGCACACAAATGTTGGCTACTTCTGGGACCTACGCCAATAAGAAGAGGAAGAAACCAGTCCTCAAACAGTAGGTCCACTTTGTTGTGATAAAAGTCGTGGAACGAGAGACAGAAATGTAAAAAAAAAAAAAAAAAAACCTTAGCGACCATATATCTGCGCTTGAAGCTTAAGTGAAAGTTGACAAAGTTCGAAATGTTGCAGTTTGTCATGAGATATATGTAATAACCTGTAATACACGTTGTGACTTTTGGACTGAAAAGTTTGTACTGCACCAACCATCTATGCTGCGAGAAAGAACCGTGTTAAGGTGGACTTATTTGTGCGTTCTGTTAACTTCTCACGCAAGACAGTCGACAAACAATTTTCCGTGGTGGATTGTAAAATTTCATGTTACTACCGGTAAACGAATTCATATCAGTCAACAACATTGGGTGGCTTTACTTGAAACGACGGTGGATTGCTGATTTGGTGCGGACCACCTTAAGAAAGTGCGCCGCTCGGCTTTGGCATGGGTACGTTGCTCTGGCGCATTCATCGCAATCAAGTCCGAGAGTCGACTGCTGCTCTCACGCGATGCATTGCTGAGGGCGGGGCCGGCTCCAGCGTCTCGCTCTGTTATTGTAATCTGATACCGTCCCCCCCAGTGCCTTCCCCCCTCTCTCCGTGCTTCAACTTCGAGCATGTCCTGCTTCCTCTTTGGCTTTTAAAAGAACTGTACAGAAATGTGATATTAGTGATTACAGTACGGTGCTTGTGAATTAGGTTTTGTCGTGTTTGCCCACATAGAGTGCCCACAAAATTTCTGTTATGTTGGCTAACTTGTTGGTTATCTTTATGAGCTAATAAAGCCTTTATTTTGTACAATAACCTATCGTGTCTAAAACATGTTATCATATTATTAGGGATGCACCGAAATTCAAATATTTGGCCAAAACTTAAAATATGGAAACTCATGCTGAAAACTGAAACACTGAAGGAAACAATAATACACTTAAAACAAAATGTAAAGGATAATTTTAATTTACACAATTAATCCTCCGGTTCTGTAATTCCTTGACCATTTTACTTTTAATATACTGTACTTGTACATATTTAGCTGAGGCAGCATGAAGGTCAACCGGTTAACACATCAGCATCATAGTACAGAGGTCATGGATTCGATTCTGGCCCTGGCCCTCCTGTATGGAGTTGGCATGCGTCGTTTCCTCCCACGTTCCAAAAAACATGCATGGTAGGTTAATTGAACACTATATTGTCCCTAGGGTGTGATTGTGAGTGTTAATGTTTGTTTGTCTTTGTGTGCCCTGCAAGTGAATTGGCTCCCAAACAGTTCAGGGTGTACGCCACCTACTGCCCAAAGAAGGCTGTGATAGGCTCCAGCGCGCCTGTGATTCCATGAGGATAAAGCGGTTCAGAAAATGGGTGGAAGAAATAATAAAAGAGAAAGAATAAGAAAACCTTTATTAGTCTCGCAATGGAGAAATTCCCAATTCACAACAGCAAAGTTATGAAAGGAAGAAGTAGAACAACAAAATATAGGAGCTGCTGGAAAGGCAGCCACTCTCGCGGCGCCATCCTGAAGC